ACATTCTTAAATGTAAAGAAGAAATTGTTCTGATATTTGTCAGAGTAGTTTCTTATTCTCAGAAATAAAAAGTAAACTACCAGCTTATAGGAAGAAAATACACTGAAAATTCTGCTTTTAAATGTTGTTTTATTGATGAGACAATCTAAGAGACTGATTGATGCCATTATGTAATAGTTTAAAATAAAAATCAACATTGCCTTAGTTTTCAGAAATAGTTTGCAGTTTTGACACAGATGGAGCACTTTTAGGACCAGATTTCTTTCTCTACCCTTAAAATCTGGGTCCCTCAAAAATGTCCAGCTATCTAAACATTTTGGACTAAAAATAACTGAAAAAAGATACGAATAATTAACTCCTGGCTGGTTCAAAGGGCTTGATATCAATTATTTCTCAGAAAGTTATTTTAATTAGTTAAGTGCCTAGACTAACCTCCATTAAACTAACCTCTATTATCTCAGCTAATCTTCATAACAATTTTCTTACAACTGATACTGCTTTACCTACTTTACAGATGGGAAATTAGCAGTGAAGTACCTTGCCAGTAGTTCTCACAATCTCTGGTGGAACCAGGCTTAAACAACTACATTGGTTTGACCTGCTCCACAGTATGCTGCCTCTCGTGCTTCTTCCAGGCCTGACTCTGGCTCTGACATGGTGGGAAAAGTTTATTCTCTCATAATGAATCTTACTGAACTAAACAGCCCATCAATGTTAAGCTAAATACTTGTTTGAAATACAGTTAATCTTCATTATTTGTGAATTTTATACTTGAAAATTTGCCTACTTCCTAAAATTGATTAATCCCCAAATCAATACTCGTGGCACTTTAATGGTCTTTCCCAGACATGTGCAGAGTGGCAAAAAATTTGAGTCTCCCAATGTGTACATTCCAAGCGGAGATCAAACAAGGCAACAGTCTGCTTTCTTGTTCAGCCCTCATATTGTAAGCAAGCGTCCTTTTTAACCTCTCTCTCGCTCTCTCTCTCTCTCTCTTTTTTTTTTTTTTTTTTTTTTTTACCATACGGCAATTTCTTTTTTTCTTTTTTTTTTTTATTTATTATACTTTAAGTTCTAGGGTACATGTACACCTTGTGCAGGTTTGATATGTAGGTATACGTGTGCCATGTTGGTTTGCTGCACCCATCAACTCATCATTTACATTAGGTATTTCTCCTAATGCTATCCCTCCCCTAGTCCCCCACCCTCTGACAGGCCCCAGTATGTGATGTTCCTCACCCTGTGTCCAAGTGATCTCATTGTTTTCAACACCTCTTTAGTGCCACGTTTTTCACATGTTGTGCTTATTGTTGGGGATTTCACACTTTAAAATGGCCCCCAAGTATGGTGGTGGAGTGCTGGCTAGTGTTCCTAAGCACGAGAAGGCTGAGATATGTCTCACCGAGAAAATATATGTGTTAGCTTCATTCAGGCACAAGTTATGATGCTGTTGGCTATGAATTTAATTGTGATTAATTAACAATATATTAAATAACATGTCTTTCAACAGAAACACACATAAACAAAATTATTTAGTTAGCAGTTGTGCAGAGGCTTGCAGAAACTTAACCCTGTGTTTCCCCTAGGAGCAATGGTTCAGTATCTACTAATTTAGTGTTCTCAGAGACTTTATAGAATATAGCTACGAACAGCAAGAATCAATTGCATGTGGCTTCACTGTTCTTTATAATGGCATGTGTATAGAAGTTAACTTATTGCCCTTTCATTAAAGTTTCACCATGGGGTAATTTTGCTGGCTTCACTAAGCATTCTTCAGGGATTCACCCAATTTTCATCAACCACTTGACAGGCACGCCTTGGAGATAGTGCAGATTTGGTTCCAGACCACTGCAATAAAGTGGGTATCAGGATAAAGTGAGTCACATACATTTCTTTGTTTCCTAGAGCAATAAAAGATATATTTAAGCTATACTGTGGGGTATTAAATGTCCAATAGCATATATCTAAAAAACTGTACATATCTTAATTAAAAAATACTTTATTGCTAAAAAAATTAACAATCATCGGAGCCTTTGGCGAGGGGTAATGTTCTTGTTAGTGGAGGGCCTCAATGTTGATGTCTGCTGACTGATCAGGGTGGTGGTTACTGAAGGCTGAGATGGCTATGGCAATTTCGTAAGGAAGATAACAGTGACATTTGCCACATTGATGGATTCTTCCTTTCATGAAAGGTTTCTCTGTAGCATGAGATGCTATTTCACAGTGTTTTACTCACAACAGAGTTTCTTTCAAAATTGAAGTCAATACTCTCAAAACTTGTCACTGCTTTATCAACTAAGTTTATTTAATAGTCTACATCTTTGTTGTCATTCAACAATGTTTATGGAATCTTCACCAGGAATAGATTCCATCTCAAGAAACAACTTTCTTTGCTCATCTATAAGAAGCAACTCCACATCCATTCGAGTCTGATCATGAGATTGCAGCAATTCAGTCACATCGTCAGGTTCCACTTCTAATTGGAGTTCTCTTGTCATTTCTACCACATCCGCAGTTAACTTTCTTCATCTAAGTTTTGAACCCCTCAAAGCCTTCCATGAGAGTTGGAATCAACTTTTTTCCAAACTCCTGTTAATTTTGACATTTTGACCTCCTCTCATGAATTATGAATATTCTTAATGGCATCTAAAATGATGCCCTTCTAGTGAATCCTTTCCAAAAGGTTTTTAATTTATTTTGCTCACATCCACCAGAGGAATCACTGTCTATGGCAGCTATACCCTACAAAACATCAGAATTGAAAGTTGAAGTTATTTCTTAATCTATGGGCTGCAGAATGTACATTGTGTTAGCAGGCATGAAAACAATATTAAACCCCTTGTATATCTCTGTTGGAGCTCTCGAGCCACCAGGGACATGGTGGAGCAGTACCTTTTTAAAAGGAATATTTTTTCAAAGCAGTATGTCTTAGCAGTGGGCTTCAGTGAACCATGCTGTATATTCAGTAAACCATGTATATTCAATAAACCATGCTGCAAACAGTGTGCTATAATGCACGCTTTGTTGTTTCACTTATAGAGCACAGAAACAGGGTCTTTCTCTGTTGGCCAGGCTGGAGTGCAGTGGCGCAATCATGGCTCACTGCAGCCTCTACTTCCCAGGCTTGAGTGATACCCCTAACTCAGTCTCCCAAGTAACTAAGACTATAGGCTCATGTCACCATGCCCAACTCATTTTTTTATTTTTTGTAGAGATGGAGTCTCACTATGTTGCTCAGTCTTTTCTCAAACTCCTGGGCTCAAGCAATCCTCCCCTTCAGTCTCCCAAAATTCTGGGATTATAGGCATGAGTCACTGTGCCCAGTCAGATTTAGCATAAATCTTAAGGCCTTAGAGACTTTTGGGAATAAAAAAGAGCATTGGTTTCAGCTTAAACTCACCAGTTACATCAACCCCTAACAAGAGAGTCATTCTGTCATTTGAAGCTTTGAAGCCAAGCATGGCTCTAGCTATGAAAAGTCCTAAATAGCATCTTCTTCCAAATAAGGCTGTTTCATTTACATTGCAAATGTATTGTTTAGTGTAGCCACCTTCATCAGTTACCTTAGCTAGAGATTCTGAATAACTTGCTGCAGCTTCCACATCAGCAGTTTCTGCTTCATGTTGACTTTTATGTTGTGGAGATGACTTCTTTCCTTCAAACCTCATGAATCAACCTCTGCTAGCTTTCACCTTTTCATCTGCAACTTCCTTACCTCTCTCTGCCTTCATAGAATTAAGGAAAGTTAGGGCCTTGCTCTGTATTAGGTTTTGGCTTAAAGGAATGTTGTGCCTGGTTTGATCTTCTATCCAGACCACTAAAACTTTCTTCAAAGCAGCAATAAGGCTGTTTAACTTTTTTATCATTCTCGTGTTCAAAGGAATAGCACTTTTCCTTCAAGAACTTTTCCTTTACATTCACAACTTGGCTGTTTCGTGCAAGAGGCCTAGTTTTCAACCTCGCTCATCTTTTGGCATGCATTCCCCATTAAGCCTAATCATTTTTAGCTTTTGATTTAAAGTGAGAGATGTAAAACTCTGACTTTACTTAAACATTTCAAGGCTCTTATAGGGTTATTAATTGGCTTAATTTCAGTATTTTTGTGTCTGAAAAAATAGGAAGGCCCAAGGAAAGGGAAAGGGAAAGCGGAATGACTGGTTGGTGCAGCAATCAGAACATACACAACACTTACGAATTAAGTTTGCTGTCTTGTATGGGGGTGCTTCATGCTGCCGCAAAACAGTTACAGTAGTAACATCAAAGATTACGGATCACAGATCACCGTAACAGATATAATACTACTACTAATAAAATTTTAAATATTATAAGAATTACCAAAATGTGACACAGGGATATGAAGTAGGCATGCTATTGAAAAAAAATGGCACTGATAGACTTGCAAGGTTGCCACAAACCTTCAATTTGTAAAAATCACAGTATCAGCAAAGTACAATAAAGCGAAGTGCAACAAAAGGAGATATGTCTGTATTAATTTCCTGTTGCTGCTGTAACTAATTACCAAAAACCATGACTTAAAACACACAAATATATTAATATACAGTTCTGGAGTTCAGAAACCTCAAAGGGATTTTACAGGGATAAAATCAAGTTGTCAGGATTGCCTTTCTTCTGCAGACTCTAGGGGAGAAACCTTTCCTTGCCTTTTCTAGCTTAAATAGAGGTAACCTGAATTCTTTGGCTCACAGCCTCACATCACTCCATGCTTCCATCATCACATCTTCTCCTGCCTTACTCTTCCCAATCTAAGGACTTTCATGATTGACTTTTTGTGACTGAGAATGTCAACTTCTAGTCCTGTCAGTTACTTGGTCCCCAGCTTAAGTTCACTTGAGTATATTACTGTTATCAAGCAAAAGACATTTTTCTCTTCATGTTGGCAGAATTGCTGATTAAATTCACCTTTGTGGGTAGCACAGTGCTCTTGTGCATACGATGCTTTCACTGTTGTCTCATTATTGTTTTTGGATTCCCATTTCTAGTCCCCAGAGCCAAGGAAAATCATTTGTATGTCCAGAGAAGACTTTACACAGAAGATGACAGAGATTGTTGGTTGGGGCACGAAGGAAGAATACGGGGAGCTCTTTGACAAAGTGGATGTGGCCCAAGACGGCTTCATTAATTGGGAGAAGCTGACTTCCTTTATACTGCTAGAGCTTAACAAGCAAGATGAACGAGCAAAGGCAACTGTGGTGCCCCAGTGGAAGGACCTGGAATTCCTCCCAGTAAAACACAAGGACAACATTCAAAAAGTAATTTTCTTAAAAAGTTCAAGTCATTATCTGACGATTAGTAAAGAAGGTTTATTAGCAATCTGGGGAGAGAATTTAAAGCTGCAAGAAACATTCCCCATCACTTCAGATGCCACCAAGCTCAAACACCTGTGGGTGACAAGCCTGGTTTCTCTGGAAAATGTAAACAAGGTACAGACTCTTTATAAAAAAAATTTCTGTTTGTAAAAGAGGAAAAAGTTATGGGGTGGGACTCCTGGCTAGCGGTAACAGAAAGCTATATTACTCTTGGTAGCTTTCTCCTGACCTGGAGGGAGAACAGGTAGTGCCAACAGAACTACATGATTTCCCAAGCTGTTCTCTTGGGTGCCTTGTAATGACACTGTGGCTGATGGCTCAGATTCCTGGCTCTGTCTTCAATGAGGCCATGCTTCATTATTAGCTTATAAGAACTTTACTCCTGCATAGTTTACAGCAGGATCATGGATCTATATGTAGAACTGAGAGGCTATTACTGTGCATGGCAGGATTCAGTGCAATTAAGGAGAACTGCTTATCTAATTTTGTTCACTGTACTAGTCAGTGTCTTCATTCTAATAGATAGGGCCTACTGGGTCTAAACATCTTCATATACCTATACTACTCAGAAAGATAACATACTGTGAGTAAAATAATTTTGACATGGAAGGTTGGATCTTGAAGAATCCACGTTAATATTTTATATTAAGCAGAAGGTAGATTTTACTCTGAAAATTTTCAAGTGCATGCACAAGCAGAGAGAATAATATTAGAAACCTGATGTACTCAGTATTCACTCAATAATTTTCAATTCACAGCTAATCTTGTTTCATCTATACCTCCCCCTTAAGATCCAAAACATCATATTATTTCATCTGTAAATATTTCTGTATTTCTAAAAGATGTCTCTATTTTAGCATAGCCAAAATACCGCTATCACACTTAATATCCATAGCAATATTTTCTTAATATCATGAAATATCCAGTCCTGTACATATTTTCCTGATTGTCTTATTAATAGTTTGTTTCAATGAAGATCTGAATAAGGTCCAAATATTGTGAATGGTTAATATGTCTCTTTTGATACACATGCTTTTCTTTTTTCCTGCTTTTTTTTTTGCAAATTTTGGCTGTTGCTGTTGATGTTTTTGTTAAAGAAACCAAGGTTTGTCCTTTAGAATTTTCCACAGTCTGGATTTCACAGATTGTGTCTACATGGTGTTGTTTAATATGTCCAGCTATTCCGTGATTTTTCTAGTGAATTGGTAGTCAAGTGTAAAGCCTTGTGTAGTTTTGGAGTGGTTAGTTTGTTTAGAACAGATGGCTGTGTGTTCTTCAGCCAGTAAGTATTAAATACCTGGTTCTTCCTCTTCTTGAGATGTTAGCAGTTATTGCTGACTATTCCTAAATCCATGAATTTTTTTAGGGGTCAGAAGATGATATTCTAATTTCACAATTTCCTTTTCCTTTAAGCTAGAATACCTTATAAAAAAGAAATAATCCCATTAATTGTTTAGTCATCATGTGGTACAAATTAAAGGCAGAATAAATGCCTAATTTTTCACGTTTTTTGCCAGTTTTCAAAATAATGAGCTGGTTTTCTAATATTGTCTAAAAATAAACAATGAGTACTATTATTATTATTATCAGTATAATTGAAAAATCATGGATTTAAAATTTTTGATTTGTTTTAATCTACTGAGTTGTTATCCCATACCAGAAATTGCACCCTCTTCAGAGAGTGGGAACAATGCAGGTTGGCTTCTGAGTCTCTTTATAATCCTGACAGCACTTGAAAGCTTCTTTGTTTCCTGGTATGACAAAATGTTCTAGAATCATCTTGTATATTTCCTATGCCAGACCTAAAATCAGCATTTCTCCAAAAAGGCAAGTTATTTTTAGTGGGAAAATGTATGCTCTATTGTTTGGAACCATAAATCATTCTCATCCTCAGTAGCTTCCTATGCCCTTATCTATTCATCCTCTCAAAATCACCATGGAGTAGTTATTATTCCCACTTCACAAATGAGAGACTGAGCAAAGAGAAGTTGTATAATTTACCCTCAGTCACAAAGGATGTAATCAGGGTTGCCAAGACTTGTAAACTGAGGCAGGCCAACTTTAGACCTGGGTTTCAGTCTTTGCTGCCTCCATAGTGGCTGCTGACATGAGATCCAATTCCTTTTTGCTAAGTATCTAGTGCTAATATTTAACTTGTATGAATTAAAAGATATAGTCCAGATGATTTTTTTATATCTGTGTACAGTGTGCTGTTATTATTATATGATATTTCTGTTGCACTGTATCTTCTTTTCAGCACTGAACTAAAATCTTAGTCTTTCTTTTGTGCTTACTCAATATAGAATCTTAAAGAATGTTGCTTTTATTCTTTTTGAAACAGATTTATTGAAATATAATTATACAAAATACACTGCACATATGAAAGTGTCCCAAGTTGATAGATTTTAACACATACATGACCTGTGAAAAAATCAACAGTATGAAGAAGACAATGAACATATTAATCACCCTCAGAAATTTCCTTGCAGTGTTTAGTAACTCCCCCCATCCCTTTTTTGTTAAGCAAGCACTGATCTGCTTTCGGTCACTATAGATTAATTTGGATTTTCTAGAGTTTTGTATAATTGGCACCATACTGTGTGTACTCCTTTTTTTCTTTTTCTTTCTTTCTTTTTTTTTTTTTTAACATGGCATAACTATTTTGAGAATTATCCATGTTTTGAGGTATACTACTAGTTTTTATTGCTCTGCAGCATTCCATTTTGTGGATATGGCCTCACAAACATTTGGTATGATCAGTTATTTTCTCTCTCAATTTTAGCCATTTTAAAAGGCCTGCATTTAGATCTTATTATGGCTTTAATTCATATTTACCTAGTGACTAATGATGTTAAGCATATTTTCACGTGCTGGTTTGCTACCTGTACATCTTATTTTGTAAAATGTCTATCCAAATTTTTTCCAATTTTTTATTAAGGTTGTTATCTTATTATTGAGTTTTGAGAGTTTTTATATATTCTGGGTAGATAGATTTATCAGATGGATACTTTGCAAAACCTGCATCTTAGTTTTTACATTCTCTTAACATTGCCTTTGGTAATTTCATTTTTAGATTGTTCATTGTATAGAAATACAATAGATTTTTCAAAAATGATAATATATTCTGCATCTTTCTGAAGTCATGTGTTAGTTCTGTAGTGTTTTTGAGCATTTCTAAAATTTCCTATATATAATATCATGTTATCTCCAAATAGATATAGAGATCTAGTTTAACTTCCTCCTTTTCAATATTGATATTTTAAAATTTCATATTCTTGCTTAATTTATCTGGCTAGAAACTCCATACCATATTAAATAGAAGTGGTGAGAGTGAACATCCTTGTCTTGTTTCTGATCTTATGGGGAATATATGTATTTTTTCACCAATATGTGTGATGTCAGCTGTAGGATTTTTGTTGTTGTTGTTGTAGTACATGCTGTTTATGAGGTTGAAGAAATTCTCTTCTATTTCTGGTTTGTTGAGTGTTTTTATCATGAAAATGTGTTGGATTTTGTCAAATGCATTGTTTGCATCTACTGAGATTACCATATAGCTTTTGTCTTTTATTCTATTAATATGATGTATTACACTGATTGATTTTTGCATGTTAAACAAACCTTGTTTCCCTGGGATAAATATTACTTTGCTATGATGTGTAAACTTTTTTGTATGTTGCTAAATTCTCTTTGCTAGTATTTAGTTCAGTATACATTTTACATTTATATTAAGAGGTGTAGATCTGCAGTTTTCTATTCCTGTGATGTCTTTCTCTGGTTTCAGTATTAGGGTAATCCTGGCCTGATAAAATGATTTGGGAGGTGTTACCTTTGATGTAATTTTTTGGAAGCGTTTGAGAAGTATTGGTGGTATTTTCCTTGAAACGTTTGGTAGAATTTATCAGTGAAGCCATCTAGTTGAGGATTTTATTTGTGACACTTTTTTTGACTATTAATTTAATCTTTCATTCATCATAGTTCTGTTGATATTTTCTGTCTTTTTGAGTTGGTTTACATAGTTTTTGTTTCCTGAAATTTATGCATTTCATAAATGTTAACTAATTTCTTGGTATATAATAATTTTATTATCTTACTAATACTTTTTTATTTCTGCAACGTCGATGGTACTGTCCACTCTTTTATTTCTGATTTTAGTAATTTATATCATCTCTTTTTTTCTTTTTTTTTTTTGGGCGGAGTCTCACGCTATCTCCCAGGCTGGAGTGCAGTGGCAGGATCTCGGCTCACTGCAAGCTCTGCCTCCCAGATTCACGCCATTCTCCTGCCTCAACCTCCTGAGCAGTTGGGACTAGAGGCACCCGCCACCATGCCTGGCTAATTTTTTGTGTTTTTAGTAGAGATGGGTTTCACCGTCTTAGCCAGGATGGTCTCGATCTCCTGACCTCGTGATCCACCCGTCTCGGCCTCCCAAAGTGCTGAGATTACAGGCGTGAGTCATCGCGCCTGGCCTATCATCTCTTTTTTTTTGGTTAGTCTAGCTAAAGTTTTGCCAATTTTCAAAGAACTAATTTGATTTCGTTGTTTTTCTATATTGCTTTTTCATTCTCTATTTGCTTTATTTCTGTACTAATTTTATTTTTTTCTTCCTTCTGCTGGCTTTGGATTTAGGTTGCTCTTCTTTTTCTGGTTTCTTAAGATGGAAAGTTAGGTTATTGATTTCAGATTTTTTTTAGATTGATGTTTGCGAATATAAATTTTACTCTAGACATTGCTTTTACTCTATTCCATAAGTTTTTTGTATGTTGTGTTTTTGTTTTCATTCATCTGAGTGTATTTTTTTCATGTCTTTTGTGATTTCTTCTTTGACCCATTGGTTACTTAGAAGTGTGTTGTTTTATTTCCATGTAGCTGTGAATTTCCCAAATTTTGTTTGGTTGAATGATACTTCTAATTTCATTCCATTGTGTTTGGAGAATATAATTTACATAATTTCTAATCTTTTAAATTTATTGAGATTTGCTTTATGACCTAATATATGGTTTACCCTGGAGAATGTGCCATGTGCACTTGAGAAGAAATGCATCCTGCTGAGGTTGGAATGGAATGTTCTTTAGACATACCTGAGATCTAGTTGGTTTATAGTGTTTGTCAAGTCTTCATTTTCTTACCGAAATTCAGTTCACTTGTTCTATCTGTTATTGAAAGTAGAGTATTGAAATCTCCAACTGTTATTGTTGAAATGCCTACTCTGTCTTCAATAATTTTAATTTTCGCTTCATGTGTTATGGGGCTATACTGTTAGAAAAATGGCAGATGTAAATCTTACCTTTTCAGTAATTATATCAATGGACTAACCACTCCAATTAAAGAGCAAATATTGGCAGAATGGTGATTTTAATAATTTATGCATGTTTCTTAAAATTCTCTATTTGATGAGACATCATTCTTGTTTATTTCTCTCTCTCTCTCTTTCTTTCCTTCTTTCTTTCTTTTTTAAAGATGGGAGTCTCGCTATGTTGCCCAGGCTGTTCTTGAACTCCTGGCCTCAAGCAATCCTCCTGTGTTGGCCTCTCAAAGTGGTGAGATTACAGACATGAGCCATCACACCCAGCCACATACTTTCCTTTACTTCTTTAGACCTTGTTTTCTTTAGTTGTTTGAATATATATATATATATGTGTGTGTGCGTGTGTGTGTGTATGTGTGTGTATATATATATATGTTGAATTGAAGTCTTTTTCTAGTAAATCCAATGTGTGAATCTTCACAGGGACATTTTCTATTGACTTATTTTTATGTTGTTAAATATTTTCCCCTTTCTCATATAGCCTTTAGGGTTTTCTCTGACTTCGGATAAAGCTACTTATAGAGTCTGTATCAAATGATTTCCATGAAAGTCTCTATTTGCATCATAAAACATGGTTTGTAAAGTTTCTGGTATGACTGTATAATGCCATATCTTTGTGCCTTAGTCTCTCCTATGTGATTAGAGGTCTAGTCTCCCATGGATGGGGATGTTGGTGAGCGTGTGGAATAGGGATAGGAAATAAAGCATGTTCAAATGCCTCTAATAGGAAAAGTTTCTTCTTGGCTAGATTCCACAGTTAGGATAAAGTACATTTGTGCCACTGTTCTTTGCTTCTGTAATACTGTTAAGGATCCTCAGAGAACAAAGTCTGATTTGGCAATTAGAGTGGCATGTCTGCTTTGCATATTAATTTTGCTAAATCCATCAGAATTACTTTCTGATTTTCTACTCTGCTACTTTAGATAGCGGTGGCTTTTACAAGTAAAGAGATTTGTTTCTATGATCTGCTGTCCAAAGAAGAATTTGCTTGCCAGTACAAACTCCAAGGCCTGAAAGGAACACCAATTTGCATGGATTATTGGTATGATCCTCTTGATGCCAATGAATCAATTCTTTCTTTTGGGGATATAACTGGAAAGGTAAGTGAGGGTAGATTAAGATTGAATACTATGGATTTAATCATCAAACTGTAGTTTAAAATAGAAATTAAAATGCAATGAGTGTGACCTCCAAATTTAATTACATTATGGCTTATATGCACATTGGACATGGAAGAGATGGATTAGGTCACAGTTTGTCTTCTTGCTTACAAAAACAAATCTTAATTGTGTGTGTGGGTTTGTTTGTTTTTTGGTCTGTCTATAGTCTCGCTTTTCTCATTTAGAAAAAAAGATCTTCCTAACCTTTTTCACCATAGGATGCTTAATTTATTAGATCCCAATATGAATAAATGTTTAATATTAAATGATTACATTTATTCCTCAAAATGCTTTCAAATTTATTGTTCTGGTTTTCCTACATAGAGTATTGGGTTTCTCAGTACCAATTTCCTAGTGAGTGCCCATTGCCTGTATCATATAACAAAAGGATTAGAGATGGCAGCTCTGAAACCTAGATATTGGATACAAATATTTCTGTCTTCCTATCAAATTTCACCCGACCTATGAAAAATTATTACTTACTGAATGAAACTAGAATATATCTGTGACCTCTGAAGTAGGCTAATTTAAACAATTTCCTTTTGTAATTGTGAAAGGTTTTCATTCTTACTATTTTAACGACGAATGTGTCTTAAAAACAAGTAAAAGACTGCCCTTTAGTAATTGTGTCACCAAACTAATAATTGTTCTGTTTTTTAGTATAACAGCCTGCATCCTTTAAATAGTATTGAAGAAATTCTTATTAAATTAAGAGCTATTCCTTATTAAACTAAAATAACATAGAATCTTCTTGCAACAATTATCCTGTCCATGACTGTTGTTCTTTCAATGTCTCCATCAAGGTTCAAGCGATTGCTTTCACAGCAGCCTTGATTTCCCTGTTTGAACGGCCTGCTAGTGCATGTGAAGATGGAGAAGCCACTATGACCATTAACTGGGCAGAGCTGCTCTCTGGATGTCACAAATGTTGCGACATATTAGAGCATAAACTTCATCAAGGAGACTGGGTCAGGCAAGGTATTGAATTTGAACAGTAATGAAAGTAAATGGTCACCTCTGACTTGTACATTTATATCATTTGATGAAAATGCTTCACACAAAATGTTTAAGTCTAGAAACCAATAACTGGTTCTCTGGAGGTTGTGGCCTGCACTCTGCTATCCCTTGAATGCTGGCAAGGATTCTTTTTGTTTTTTTTTCCTTCTGAATTTATGCCTCATACAATTAATTCAGGTGACCAATGTGCTCAAGAAATCTTAAGAGAAAGGAAAACATTGTCGTAGAATTCATTTAGCTTCAACTCAACTCTGATCCTAGCTAATCTCATCTAGTTACATTCAGGGCTGTTTAATAAAAGAAATTAACAAGTTTCCTCAAGAACATTCCTTTGTTTTCTTTATGTTCTCATGGGAAGCATATTAGTTTGACTGCCTTTAAAACTGAATCGTCGTAATTTTCTTTTTTTGATGTAATGACCGAATTTCTCTAATCTAGAGTACTTGAGTGGCGGTTCTTTGTGTAATAAGACTATGTTATAAAATCAGTGTCTATAGAAAACCAGAACTTTCTTAAAACCTAGTCACCAATGAATTAGTTTCATAAAATATCTTAATTTTATCTGATGGCTCAAGATTCAAATGTGCAATATCTGCACTAATATTTCTTTGTTTAAATACTAAAGAGTATGATAATTTTCTCACTTCTAAATTGCTGCATTAAAGAATGTCCACTGAAAAGAATGAAAATTAACAATCTCATTGACTTTAATGAAATTTGATGAGATTAATGTTATTGATCTATTCCTAATATAGTTTGAAGAAGAGACAGTCAACATGGATCCAACTGTTGGCTTTTATGGTAATTTTACCCTCTTTGGGTTTCAGAAGGTTGAAACTAATTCTTTAATGTATACCCACAGTAATAATTTCCTATGTGAGGAACTATGTGCTCTGCATTTTTTAATTTTATATAAATCATACCATGCCTTTAGTACCTTCTACACATTTTAAAATTCTGGCATGATATTAATTGCAGGAAAAACAAAAGATGACAGTTTTTGGTCATCTACTAAGTGTGACAGGCAGAAAATTACGTGTTAAGTTTTCATAACATGAAAATGAGAATCAGAGTTTTAAAAATATCCGGAATGGAGCTATTTCAACTTCTTCTGAAAAACATTATTTTTTTTATTTGTATTCATATTCATTTGTTCTTTAGATACATATGCCAAAGACTAGATTATAATAATAAAGTGATAGTTCTTGAAATTTACTCCCAGTAAGTTCTCTGAAATTTAATATATTATTTGAGTCAATAATCTTAAATTAATATGAGTAAATACAGAGAAGCCTATAGAAAGCTGTCTTAGAAAGGGTTGGAGAGATAACAAGTAAGGCTTTTAAATTGTGATTGTCTTTTCCGATGATGCATTATATCTATATACTCTCATGTTTAGGAAGAGAATGGGAAAGCTCTCACTGCAGACTCTGCCTCAATTTTATTTAAGGTTCTCAAAAAATCAACCATACCAATGAAGTAACCTATCAGTGAGCTTTTGTCTCTTAAGTTATAGGACAAGGATTGTTCTCTAGGTCAATGCTGATTTGCTACTTATCATGTGTCCATCATAGCATTCTGATCTTTGATTCCCTCCTCTACTGACAAACGAACATGGGAATTTAGTTTAGTATTAGCAGTGGAGATTCACGTTTATGACCTAAGGAATCCAATTTCACAGTCTGGCGTCAAATCACTGCAAAGTAGGAATTGGCTACAGAGAAGTTTTATGTATATATAAAGAACTATGTATGTAATACAAATTAGATATATATATATATACACATACATATATATATAGTTAAGAATCTTTGCTATCTTATTCATATTACATATTTCTCAGTTCTTTGATTAAAAATTCATTATAATCAAGTAGATAATTTTTGGGACAACAACAAGAATACACACAAACACATTTACTTTAAACAGTTTATTTGAATTATGGACTGGAGTGTCAATCAACAATTATTTATTTATCTTTTATGTGTCTTAAAACAGTCTTAGGCATTTGAGACTATAGAAGAAAGATTAATTATAGACTCAACCCTGAGAAAACTTAATAACTGAAAGAAATAGAAACTAATACAAGTCACCTTATTAGAACGTTGTTCAGTGGTACTGAAAATTAACTACTAAACCTTATAAACAAGATTTTGACTCCTAGAGTAGTTCTTGAGCCTGAAAAGCCGTAAGAAAAAGCCTTAAGGATTAGTGGTGGTACTTGAAGGATGGATGAGGGAGAGAAAAAGAGAACATGGTCAACATGAGCAAAAGTAGGCAAGCAGACACAATGACAGAAGGAGAGGTAGACATGAATAGATCAGACACTGAATATTAGGGAAATAGAAACAAATAGGTCATATGGGAACATAACGTTGGAAGATATGGGCCGTGAAACATTGAAGGCTTTTGAGGAAACTTGGACAGACCCAATGCAGACAGCATTTAGGAAAAGTTTACTTGGTAGTTTGTTCAGCATGGATTGGAGGAGAAAGAAACTGCAATCAGACTGGCTAGTTAGAGGGTTTTTGATCATTAGAAAATGGAAATGATAAAGGACGGACAGAAACAGGCAGCTCTCTGAAGCAACCGTCTTCAGGATTTGAGGTCTAAAAATGTGGAATGATGAACCATCTTAGGAAGTCTTATAGAACTTTCCACTTCTAGCTACGGAATTTTTTATTTGAAGATTACAGATCCCTACCTGGCCCAATGCACAGACTCTTCACAGCTCATCTTCTCCTCCTCCGGAGGATTCTTCATTCTGAGATACCCCAGATTCTGCAACCAAAGACGAGTATTTTTTTTAAAAAATGTTTTTGAAGTTTCTTTTGTTTATTTGTTTGAGATGGACTCTCACTCACTGTGTCGCCCAGGCTGGAGTTCAGTGGTCCGATCTCGGCTCACTGCAATCTCTGCCTCCCAGGTTCAGCGATTCTCATGCCTCAGCCTCCCGAGTAGCTGGGATTACAGGCACATGCCATCACGCCCGGCTAATTTTTATATTTTTCGTAGAGACTGGGTTTCACTGTGTTGACCAGGCTGGTATCGAACTCCTAACCTCAAGTAATCTGTCCATCTGGGCCTCCCAAAGTGCTGGGATTATAGGTGTCAGCCACTATGTCTGGCCTACCACAGAAGAGTCTTTCTTGCCAACGTTTTTCCTGAAACGTCCTTTATTTTTTGCCACTTCACCTTACATCAAACTCTTTATTTTGCCTCTTCCTCTGTCTAATTCAGATGGACTCTTCATTGCATTATTTGCAAGGTTCTCAATTTTGGCATTGCTCCTGAATTCTTCTTCAAAATCTTGCTTTGCAATGCTGTCCACCCTGTGAACCAAACCTACCAATTTCTGTACCCACGTTAGAATTTGAGTCCTGCCTCTTACCTTCCCAAGCCTAGAAGGAAATTTGAATGCCCCACATGAAAATTACATTTACATATAAATGGAAATTAAAACATCCTTCTTGGGGCAAGCACTATATTGTTCATTCACCTTAGTATCTACTATAACACGGAATACAATGTTTTATAAGATTTTCTCTTTATCACTGATTTTAAGCCATTTGATTATGATATACCTTAGTTTTTCTTGGGGTGTATGTGTATATGTGTATGTGTTTATACTGGTTAAAATTCATTAAAATGCTTGGATTTGTGAATCTGTAGTTTTCATTAAACTTGGAAATTTTTCTATTGTTATTTTTTCAAAATTTTCTTTCTTCTCTCTCTCTCTCTTTTTTCTCTAGGACTCCAATTATTTGCCTTTCCACAATTCTGTCCCATATTTTCTAGCTGCCTCATGGTCCTCTAACTCTAATCTTTGTTTCTCCAACTCTGGAGATTGCTAGGCTCTGTGTGGTTTCCTGCTCTGTGTGCTGATAGTTTGGAAATTTCTTCCAAGAAAGGCAGAGCAATTGTAGGGCCCACTTCATTTGTTTCTCTTCCTTCAGGGTTCACAGTTCTACTTTGCCTACTGTCAAAATCTGAAAATATTGTTGCTAATATTTGTCCAGTTTTCCAGTTGTTTATTGTGAGAGATTAAATTCAGTGCTTGTTATGCCATCATGGCTGGAAGCAGAAATCCAGCACAATGCTTTTTAAATAATGAATATACAATAAATATTTGTCGATCAGTTAGTCTCTTTCTTTTGTTGAGATCTTTCAGTCACCTTAACACCCTTTACCAGCTGCAAGGATAGGAACTTCTATGTGATATTCACCCAAAAAACATTTGCTAGGTAATTACTATGTAATAGGCACCATACTAAGCACTAGCATATTTCAGCTGAATTCTGTTATCTAGATCCATCCCAAGAAACTTAACTTCTAACATCCGACTAGCTAAGATTTTTAAATAATCACTTCAAGGTTTGTTTATTATCATGTTCACTTTGAAGCACTCAAAACTAAGCAGCCAGTCAGTAACACTTAACAAAGTATCCTTCTGCACCTGGTATTGTGTACTAGGAGCTCTGTGATAATTATTGTAGGGAACAATGGATAATTTATTTATCAAAAGATGCTGGAGTGAGTGTCCTGTTGAGATTAGTTAAGGGCAGAGAAGAACTGGAAGCTTATCTATTGATGCTGAGAAACTGAGCTGTATTTTAATATTAGTGTATGCCAAAATGAACTATCTGAAGTCCCGTGAAAGCATTATATTAATTTTCTTCTTCCTTTTTTCTTTTTAAAAGAATTACACTTGTGTCTCTAATTAATAATTCCTATTAGTTTCCTCTATGGGATTTTATGTTTTGATTTTGAGCAAAAAAAGCCATTTTGCAATTTGACTTTGAAGGTCTTAGATAAATTATTGGGTGAATTTTCACAAGAAAAGAGAAATACCAAAATAAATTATGATAATATTTGTAGAATTTCTTTCTTTCTTTTTCTTTCTTTCTTTTTTTTTTAATGGAGAGCCAGGAGTGGTGGTCCATGCCTGTAATCCTAGCATT